GGCAATTCTGCAGATGCATTGAATACCACTCTTAATTTAGTGGTAGTACTATGCGGCTTGAGCACACAATGATGGGGAATATAGTACGAGCTTGGAGGTGAGTCATGACTGGAGACTAATTCCATATGGTTAAGGTCTAAATATTCTCTCATGAAGTTGGAATATTGTAAATATAATTCAGGATTTTTCAGCAGACGGCGCTCTAACGAAAAAAATCTATTTAGTGCTAGATCACGAACTCCTGGGAATTTCAGGTCATTACCTTTCAGTGGAAGTGACACAATATAGCGGCCATGGGGATCACGCGTTATTGTTTCGGAAAATATTTTTTCACAATTGACATCATCTGGACTAGATGATAAAGCATTTGGAACATTTTCAGTCTCCCAAAATCGGGTCAAAGTATCTTCCATATCAGATGAGGGAAAATTACAAAGAAATGACGATATCGCCACCTCACGTGAAATGTTAGTTTTTCCCATCAAGATGTAACCGAATACAGTGTTGATGGCATCTGGTTCGTGTGAATTTCCTGCAATTCGACCGTTCAATAAAATTTTAGAAAACACATCGGCTCCCAGTAAAATATCAATTTTTCCTGGACTATAAAACTGAGGATCCGCAAGTTGCAAATTAGAAATATGTTGCCAAGATTTATACGGAACATTACATTCGGGTAAATCATCGCAAATTTTGTTTAAAATTATTGCGTCAGTGTGATATAGGGGGGCGGGTTTATTGAGAGGTTTGAAGGAGAAGGTTACGCAACCATTACTAATTGACGATTTCATGGACCCTAGCCCTTTGACCTCAACTGAAAATGATGACTTCGGTAATCCCAGTTTACTTGCAGCCTTTTGAGAAATAAATGAGCTCATACTTCCTGAGTCCAACAAGCAGCGAAGGGGTTGATAGGATCCTTGGTTATTTAGAACATCAATATAAGCGGTGGCTAATAAAACACTGTGGGAATTTGCAACTATACCCGAGGCGGCAAAAGTACTATTAGTACTACTTCCGGCAGGAGAATCTGAGACAGGAACACTCGTGGTTCCACTTGAGGATGAAGGTTTATCTTGATGAAGCAATGTGTGATGAGTCCTGGAGAAACAGGATTTACACGAGTAAGTAGATTTACAGGATCTTAGATCATGTGAGCTACTTAAGCAATTGAAGCAGAGGCGTATGCTTTTACAAAAGGAATATCTTTCAGAGGGTGTTTTACTAGCAAAAGCCTGACAAGTATATAAGGAGTGATTTTCTTTGCAAAACACACAAGTAGATGCAGGTGACTTGTTAGCAAAGAATGATGTGGTGCGACTGATTGAAGTATTTGGTTTTGGCGACATTGGAACAGACCGCTTATTTGAAGTGCAACTAGAAATTTTCAAAGTATCCAGAACAATGCACTGATCATTCAAAAAATCTACAAGTTTTTTGTAACTAGGTACATCTGACGAACGATGCTCCATTTCAAATCGCGTAACGGTTGCATTATCAAGTCGTTTTAAAAGCATCATGACCATTATGAAGTCCCATTGATCGGTAGGAAATTTCAGAGATTTGAGAGCGGCTAAATTTTCACTAAATGTGTCCAACAGTTTTCGAAGTGAAATTGAATTTTCGGAATCAATCTTTGCAGTTCCCTCGATTTCTGTCCAATGAGCCTGTGCACACAATCTTTTATTTGAATATCGTTCTATTAATGTAGCATAAGCAATGTTATAATAATCTGAGGTGAGCGGCAAAGTGCGAACTATCGTTAAGGGTTGGCCTTGTAATGACGAAATCAGATAATTGAATTTTTCCACCTCAGATAATGATTCATTATTATGAACTAACGAATTGAAATGATCAATAAATGAAGTGAAAGATTTGTAATCGCCACTGAATTTCTTCAGTTCAATTTTTGGTAATCGCACATGACACTGATTTGATCGTAGATTTGGCAACGTGGTGCTATCAGCATTGGACATAGCTAGAAAGTCATTATCGAATAATTCAGTGAAAATAGTTTTAATCATGTAAAAGTCCGATAAAAATCCCTCACGAATGACCTCTTCTACGTCCAAATCAGCCTCTGGAATAGTGAGTAACGTTGTAACTACGTTATTGTGTTGCTTCAGAAATTCTTCTTTCAATACATCAAGTTCCATACACCGTACTCTAAACAAGTTGCGGACCGACCTATCGGTTTTTGCGCGGTCTGCGAGAGCAGTCAAAACATTAATTTCATTAATAGCAGATGTGCGATAAGTTTTGTACTTTTTGAGTTTATCCATTACACTTCCGTACTCGCAGGCATAGACTACGGCAAGAAATTGAAAAAATTAATACAATCAGTTCCTAGCGAGCGCAAGCAACTGAATGCAAATAAAATCGCGGGCGATCAGCTGGCAAGGAATAAAATAAAATGTAAATAACAGGCGATCAGCTGTTCTTCAGACAGGTCAATGTGCGCATATAGGTCGCCAACACCTGTGAACACCTGGATGGCTGGTCATGCGCTGTCCACCGTCCACCTACGCCGATGACAAACACGGCGAATTCAAAACCTCACGTGCTCGAGATGTCCGGCGATTAAGAAATGATAAATGAAATTGGTGCGAGCGACATTATTCTAAAATGTGAATTTTATCAATATCATCAGAAAAACTTGGTTTAAGCAGCAAAATGGTTCAGAATTTTTTGAAAATAACGAATTTTAACCTGACTCCTTGATCTGAAGCTGTTTCAGAACTATGAACTTGAATGTTATATATTTTTGATTAGCAAAATAATGACACGGAAAATTTGGAAAATATTGTTAAGATCAAATATAGGTTTCAAGATCCGGCTCGAAGGACCAAATGAAGGGGAACGGCAGTGGATTTAACTGTGAAGCCAAAGCGAGCCAAAAGAGCACTTCAAAAATAAAAAATACAGCGTGAGCCGGCAAGATGACTTACCTTATTGTGATCCTGCTGATCTTCTTCTGAAGGGCCCTTCCAGCGATCCAAACTTTCCTTGCCTGAAGCGACGGCGGGTTAAGCGAATTAAGCGGGTTAAGCGAATTAAGCGGGTTAAGGGTGAAGCGGGCAAAGCGAAGGGTTGAGTTTCACTCGAATATATGCTGCGAGCGATATGCACTTAGCGCGAGACCCAGTGGTACTACTGGTACCTTTTCGTATATGTGATCGAAAACTCGTCCAAGGACACGCATAATCTTGGTCGCCTTGAGGCTCAGTTTCTTCGCGGTAAAAATGAACTCTCGAATAAACTACTTATGAAAAATTAATATATATGTTCTGATAAAGATATTGCCGTTCCGCAACAGACATACTTCATCAAATATCATCTACAAAATGACATTCAATTCATCTTATTATTTCATCGGGAAGGCCTCACAGACAAAATTGTGTCCATCACCATATTTCCACAGAATAAAATCACTTGTAATGAGAAGGAATCACTAGAGTAGACCGATAAACGGAAATCGCTCGAACAATGAGTTTTTGTCGATCACGTCACTTACTATTCATCTAAAAAAATTCAAACCGAAATTCTTTCACAAGAATGTGGAGGTAGAATACGAAGTGAACAAAACTAACCGTACTGTCACTTAGTTATGAACATTGAAATTAGAAATATGTATCAATATGGAGTTACAACAAGTACCCTGAGAGCTGAAAAAAAATCATCAAGTCGAACAATGCATCTCCAATTTTCGGTATGTTCCAAAACGGAATTGTGACGAGCCTGAAATTTCACAGTTTTGCCAAGAAACAACCGACACTGCATGTCCTACATTTCACGAGATCTCGATGTTGAGGCTCTAATTCCAGCCGCCCTGTACTTCTCATTTTCAATAGCAAGAAAAACGTTTCATCATTCAGTATCGGAAACGTAGAACCATTCATCTTAAAGTCGATAAATAACCACTGATTGAACCAGTATTTCCTGATTTGAATATCATTCTGAAATCAACTTCTGATAATCGTTTGAAGCATTCAAATATCAATGAATAATCTTTCTCACGTAATAAAAGACGCTTTTAAATCGGTGATTCTCTACGTTTCAACAAAATCAAATGTGAATTTGAAACGTTGAAAATGAACAGAAAGTAATGAATTGTTGGTAATAACACGTTTAAATAACGTGTTCATTTCCCGGTCATCTACAACCATATTTCAATGTTTGAGTTTTCAACCAGTAACGTTATTACCATGATTTCAACCGTTATTTCACGTTTCATCAACGAGTTTGGGTTTACTGGGTAGTAGATAGAATATGTATCACACTTACCAAGACTCAGGGGGATCCAATCTCCTATGAACCCTAGGAAGGTATATGTCAGGTATTTCATTCCATAGACTTGTGCACCCTCACTTTAGGTGAGAGGTTTGGTGGGTAAGATTATGTTACTCTCATAACATTTCAACTAGTCGAATAGCCCGAGTTTGTTACGTTCAGCTCAGCTGTTTTACAAATATATGGTGTTTTTTATCGAAACCTTCGAAAACCTCCCACTATTTTACTCTCAGAGATACAGGAACTTTTTTTTTTGTTGATAAAGAGAAACTCATATAACATTTACAGATTCAAGTTCGCAGTTAAGCTACCTAGCGGCTATTTCAAAAGCTCGACATTATTTATTTCCCTGCGAGCCTCTACGATGAATAGTTTTCGAGATACAGTACCTCGGATTCTTAGTTGGCCGTCATGTACATTATTATTCATGTCCATATCGCTAGTACCTACTCTTGTGGTATCTCAGATATAAATAATTGAACGCATAAGTTCTTTCTTTGTGATGAATATAACACTTCATCTTATGAACATTCGGTAAATCAACCAAATAGTTGAAATAGCAGAAAATATTCACCAAATTCAATATACCTAGATGTTTTTGATGATGAAATCAAATCTCAAAATGAGTCATTATCAGATTGGGATCATCATGTTATCTTGATGGGGTGGATCTTGAAGCATAATCAATAAGTTTGGAAGTAAGGACTCACTGGATGATTTTTTTCCAAGCTGCTATCACCAAACTTTTTGCTGTGTTGTCAACGAAAACATAATCTTGCTCACTATCTTCATCACCATAGATCACCTTCACCAATCCTGAAATATATACTTTCATACAGGATGCTGGAAAATGAAGCTCCCACCCGTGTAGATGGAATCATTTTTCATGGGTGTTAGCTGTTTTTCAACTAGTAGATTGTACACACAATATTCTGGTGAATCATCATGATAATCCTAAGCGAATGTGAATGAATCAATGACAAAGTGACCTGGAAAGAGCAGATGGCAATGGTGAAGTGGAAAGTCATGTCAGCTGTGCAGTTTTGTGCATTCATACGCAGCACCAATGACAAAGTGACCTGGAAAGCTTGAAGCAGATGGCAATGGTGGGGTGGAAAGTTATGAAAGCTGTGCATTTTTGTGCATTTATCCGCAGTAGCAAAAGTATCTCAAGAAATTCCTCCAAGAAACTTCAAACCTGGGGTCTGGCTGGTTCAGAAGTATTCTGAGTATGTAGTATATCAGAGGGCGATATCTGAATCCATCAGTGCTTGCACCAAGTCGTCCATTCATCAAATGTTGCTAGACTAGAAAAATATTATTCAAAGAATTTCTAAGGTTCGTGAAAATATTGTAAGTGTTGTATATTTGGCTTACAAGCAGAATCAAATTCATAAGGTGAACTCATCGGATACTTTATTACAACAAGTATTCACATAAATCTCAAAATTGGCGATTCTAGGAAGGAGCAAGCTAGACTTGAGCCTAATGGAAAGAGTTATCGAGTGATAAAGTGAAAGTAGACAATGTGGATCTTGAAATGACCAAAAAATCACTGTACTTTTCACCCTGGTGAATCGATCATAATAATATAAAACTTTATTCAAGCAACATGAAACATATAAAAATGTACAAATAAAAAAGCAAAAGTTCGAAAAAAACGATAAGTACAAAATGTACTTGTTTCGTTGAACGAATATAGATAAAATACAAAAATATACATGGATACATAAAAAGTAGTAGAAAATATACTCATAGAAACGAACATGAATATACAAAATATACATGGATATACATAAATAATTCTAAATCAATTCAAAATTGAGAAATATAAAAAAAAATTGAATTATGGATCTATACATGGCGATAGTACGTAGAGACTTATTTTGCGCAATTTGTAGGATTTTTATTTACTCGAATAGTCGTAGCAGCTGATTTCTTTGACATTGGAGAATGTGTTTCTTCAGTTGTTTTTTGAAGCTGTGAATACTCACTAGTGATTTGATGATTTCAGGAATGCTATTATATAGCTTTGGAGCAAAGTAATTATAGGAGCGTTGAGCAACGACCCTAACCATTAGTGGTGTGAAATAATGATTCCTTTGACGAGTATTGTACTGATGAGAAGGAAGCGATGCTGAATGTTTGTTTGCATGATATCTACTGCTGGAGCACAAAAAATACAATTGTCTTATGTCCAACATATGTGTTTCAGTGTATAGTTCATCAGGAGGATATCTATTATTTAAAAAAAAAATCAGTTCAAGAAAACGTCTTTGCATAACTTCGATGGAATGAATATGAGTATTCAAAGCTCCGCCCCACACTATTATTCCATAGCGGATGTGACTTTCCACAAGAGAATAGTATAGAGTTTTGAGGTACTTGAGAGGTAAGATATCCTTAAGTTTTCTGAATCTGAATAAAATTGTCCTCAATTTATTGACAATGTACTTGATATGCGAATCCCATTTCAAATGGGCGTCAATGATAATCCCTAGATATTTAATTTTTTTCTCTTGTTGAATATCGAAAACTGTATCTGTCCTGATTGAAAGATGATCGAATGGTGGCATCCCAGCAGAGTTACATAAGAATGGAAGGTAATACGTTTTGTCCACATTAACTGTTAATAACTTTTTATCTAACCAACATCTTATTAAAGAAAACTCTGTTTCAACCTTCATTTTCAATAAATCCCAGTTATCGGCTTTATAAAAGATGGCTGTGTCGTCTGCAAATCCTATAATATTTTTGTTTTGGCTCAGTGAAACTAGTCCGTTAATATATATATTGAAAAGTGTTGGTCCCAACACAGATCCTTGCGGTACTCCACAGTCGATCCCCCTTTCACTGCTCAGTACATCATCAATTCTCACTCTCTGGGTTCTTCCCGTTAAATAACTTCGAAATAATTTAAGAGTGTTACCCCGTATTCCAATGTCCTCTAAAGATTGCAGGAGGAGATGATGACTCACAGTATCGAAAGCCTTCGATAAATCTATGAATACACATAAAGACGGCTTGCCCTCATTCAAGGCATCGGTAACTTTTGATGTCAACGACAGAACAGCATCTTTGGTGGAAATGTTCTCCCTAAATCCGAATTGACTGTCTGAAATTAGTTTATATTTGTTTGTGAATGAAACAAGCCTCTTCCTAATGATTTTTTCAAATATTTTCGATAAATGCGTTACAAGTGATATCGGACGATAGTTTGTGATTATAGATGTATCTCCTTTTTTCAGCAGTGGTGTAATGATTGCTTTCTTGAATTCAGTAGGGTACACGCCATTTTCCACGCATCTGTTGAGAATATGAGTTAGAGGTTCTGTAATGTAATGCGATATAAGTTTTATGTTTTCCGCTTTTAAATTATCACACCCCGTTGCCTTATTATTCTTGAGCTCAGATATCGTACTTTTTATTTCGCTTGAAGTAATTGGTTCAAAAACGAATGGATTCAGGATAGGTAATATTTTTATTTCGAATTTCATGTTGTTTTTTATTTTTCTAGCAAGATTTCTGCCAGTTTCCGCGAATGCTGCATTAAATGTATCAGCAATTTGCGTTTTATCTGTTAATATTTCATCATTAAGAGGATTTTTTATTTTATCAATGATATGTTTGTGTGATGTGTGATGAAGTGATATGCGAGTAAAAAGTTCAGAAAAACGAGATCTATGTAAGGTGAACGTCCTAATCATCGACACTGTCCCAATCACCGACATTTTTGAACTGAAAATCGAAAAAAAAAAAAAAGATATATGATGCTTTTTCGTATATTTCATTACCATGATGAGAAACGAGTAGGATTTCTCTACTTTTCCTAGATGAAGCTGAAGAAGTTTATATCTTCGAGAATATTTTGAGTGTTGAATGATTGAGTGTCTATCTTCCTGCCTATATTTGAGTGCTCTTCTTCTTTTATTCAGAAGAATTCGTTTTCGCCTCGCCACTGAGAATACTATTTCGTGTTTTTGGTTTATTATCATCGAATCATGCGAATTGAATGTTACTTACTAGAACAATTTTATCAAGTGTCAGTATCACATACTCACAAGTGCCAATATTTGGTACGACACAAATATTTCCATATCGATAATTGTGTGAAAAGGAACTTTTAAACTATATATTATTCTGAATACACCAATTATGTATTGCTATATAAAATCTCAGCATTGAAAAGTAATGATCGATATTATGAAAAGCCACAAGAAAGTTTCAGGAGGTATAACACTTATACAAATATTTTCATTTCATCATCATTAAGTACCTAGCAGAAACCTTTCGAGATGGCGATAATTAGGCCGTTCACCTCATATAAGAATTAGGAATTGGCACCTAATCATAGTTTAGCCGATTAGGGAGTAGGTACTTCCTCTTATCTTATGAAAAATCGAACTAATGACACGAAACTGCTGCTGAATATGTATCCATAGGACTTGGAACTTGTTTTTGAGTCCAAATTCGTTATCTCTTCTCAAATTCTAGGTTTATTTGTCGGAACTTCTAACCTCAACGTGTTGGCATTTGTTATCTGTTCAGATAATATGACAGGTAGGTTCATTAGGTCTGCTGAACTTGCCAAAGTTGACTATTTTCCATCCTGATCCTGCAATTTTATGGTAATTCTTCATACTGATGAGAAAGTAGACAATGTTTTCTAGTGACAGCCTGACCACTAAATAACTTGTTCGCTATACTACAATCTATACAAATGAGGTTACCACTCAAAATTCATACTGCGGTATCTGATGTAATGTCGTACATTTGCATCAAAGATTCTTTCTTCGAGTCGAAGTAATTCATTGAATGTTCGTTTCTTCTATATTCATATTTCTATTCGTGTAAATAGTGACAGTAACCAAATTCAATGATCCTTATTCTCACATCCTCATCAATGTCATATACCTACTCTGAAAGATATCATTTCATTGAGATCGTTGACTTCACCACAGAAACTGTAACTGAATAATCATGACATGCAACGAATACGAATTGTTTGTTGTTTTCATCAACGTATAGAATGACATTGGAGGTTTCGATACAGCAGAGCCTTTTTAGATATTCTGCATCCTCTTCTGAATGAATAGGTGGGTTGACGTGCCATAGAATGAAATTGTAACCGTTATAAAGGAATTTGAGGCAAAGATGACCACAGTTATACGGATTGTTCATTGAAGGTCATTGTTCAATATTAATCCGTGTATATGATATTCAAGATGACACCAAATCGACTCATATGGATGAATGAGGAACCATATCTCAATGTTATTTCTCTAGATGGATGATGAAGTTGATTCTGAGCAGGGTTATTGCTTATAAGAGGGGACAAGGTTGAGACATAACCGCCATCAAGCATTCTCAAAATTCCTCTCTGATGACATCACATGAGGGCAAAATAGAATGGCTAACTTAGGAATATATTAGACTTTTTCAATTGTGTTCATTCAACTTGCTGAACGTGTTTTGATGACTCTTTCTGTTAACTCCTTGCGATTAACAAAAATAAAAATGAAAATAAGAATAGTCAACTTTGGCAAGTTCCACAAACCAAATGAACCTACCTATAATATTATCGAACAGCTGACAGATACCAATACGTAAGGGGTTATAAATTCCGGAAAATATGAAATTTTGAAGAAATTAACAGATTAGGACTCGGGAAAGGATTCAGAGTCATATAGATACACATTCAGCAGCAGTTTCAAGTCATGAGTACGATTTTTTTTAGATAAGAAAAAGTACCTGCTTACTCTTCAATCGGCTAAACTCAAGAAGTGAACACATCATTGGGTGCCAGAGTCCTCATCCTCATATGAGGTGAACGTCCCAATTGTCGACACTCCAAAAGATTTTTCCTACTACATGATGATAAAATAAAATTTTCAATACAAGAGCTATACCTTCAAAATCTTATGTTTTTTTTTCTTGTGAATTATCATAATATCGATCACTACCTACTATTGAAAGCTCAGATTTCATGAACCAATACATAATTGATTCATAGAAAATAAAATAATTGAAGAGTTCCATATAAGACCCAAATATGGATATGGGAGGATTTGTGTCCTACCAAATATGGACACATGTGAGTATGTTATACTGACACTTGATGAAATTGTTTCGAAGTACGTACTCACTTGAGTAAGTAACATTTAATTCGCATGACTTGATAAGAATGAATTAGAACACGAAAAAAACAATCTCAGTGCGTAGCTACAAAAAATTTATTCAATTAAAACCAAATGGACAGAGCAGTTGAATATAGGCAAGAAGGTACTCAACCACTCAATCATAAATCCGTGATTTCCTAAAGAATCTTGCCTTCATTATACCAAAAGAATGTCATCCCCTCATATTTTCAGATATTCTTGTATTTTTCCACTAGTCAAAATAATATGTTCGATGTTATACTTTTCTTCTTCAGCTCCAGATATGTTACTAAGTTCAATTCACCATCATTCGAGGTTTGTATTTTATTTTATCTTGCAACTCTTTATTCTTGGCCTTCTCATCCTTCCGGTTTTGATTGTTCTCTCTCATTTTTTGCAGTTCGGTTTGTTAAATTATTTCATCTTTTAGCGTTGTCAATTTTCATATCATATTTTCATTGAAAAAGTATCGTAACTATAGCCGTCGACCTCCTTGGTATCAAACACCAAGACACAAAAAGAAAAGTGGCTTTTCAAGGAAGCGTGAAAGTAGATGTCGATTACTGATAAAGCTCCATCTCATTATAATTTCTTTCAACATCTTCGCACAGAACATGAATAATTTCTTCCTGTAGTTGCATATTCATAGGGAAGAAGGAAGCTGTATTGTACCATATATCGACACACATGTTTATATATGTTACAAAGTTCAAGAATTGATGTAAGAGTTATCGACATTACAAAATAATGACTTCTTACAAATGTAATACCGAATCCTTGCGGAAAAAACATACATTTCAGTTCTGAATATATGTTCACAACCATCTCGATCCATGGAGTAACCAGAAACTTTCAAACTAAAACTACAATAAGCAATTCTCCTGTCACCTTGCACTCTAGACAACTATTTGAATCAGTTCACATGTATTGAAAAAATGTGGATGAAATCAATCATAATATATTATATTAATTCATAGGAACCAGAACTTCTTGTGAGAGGTTGAAAAAATCTACTCGTTTCTCATTACGATGAGAAAATAGACGAAAAATGCATCAACATTTCAGTTTTTTCAATTTTTTGTTCAGAAATATCGCTGATTGGGAAAGTGTCGATGATTGTGATGTTAATCTGACAAAATCTCCGTTTTCCTGAACTTGTTATTCGCATAATTTTCCATAAATCCATCTGAGTTTATAGTAAAGTGATCTCTTGGTCTTGTTAAGCTTGAACTATGAGACAAAAATATGTGCTGTAATTTCAACTACTTGTAGCGATCGGACAAAATGAAGAAACATACACAAACTCAATATAAATGTTCAATACATGCATTCTCGAATTGTGGAGATAATTAACTATTCTATGATTATCTGATGGCGGCTGTCCGCATTCTAGGAGAATTTTTAACATTATATTTCACCGTTCTTTTGCTGAGTCTCTTCTTTATTCCCGTTCAAGAATCAATTGTTTCTATATGAACAAATCAAATTCTAGATCGAAGATTCTATTTTCGAGTCAGTTCTGCACTCATGATATCATCATTTCTTCAGTCTTCACAACACGTTCCGTGCACCTAAGAAAGTGTCTTCCACAAGAACGATGCCCAGAAAGAGGGCGGATGAAAAAACAGGAGCTATACATTCAGCAGTATATTGATACGTATCGAGGACACAGTTTCTTCTACTCAAGAGGCAATTTCGCTATCAATATATAAATAGAGCACCAAGGGGCACATCTCTTGAAAACCAATTTCTATACTCAACTCTTGAAGCTTCGAGGTATGATTCAGAAGCAGCAGAAAACAAATTAACAGCATTGTTGACTTTATTTTCCACACAGGAATTATCAGATAGATGTGTCTAGAATACCTAGTATCGAATAAACGTATTGATGAAACGAAATATATCGAAATACTTGATAGATTAGAAGTATATTGAAAAAAAATGGAAATGTAATTATGATAATAGTGTATATTTTCATTCGAATCGAAGTGGACTGTCAATATAATGATAACGGAATAGGAAGAACAGACTCCATCAATTTCATGAACTCATAATATCCTTGGAATGGACCTTGAGTGTATTAGTTCAGATATCAAGGATGTCATAGCTTATTGTATGTGAGTATTGATTATATAGGGGTATTATTTCTATTTATATGAAATGATGCCTCTCGTGGTCGATTTCCTGGAGGCGGTAGATATACAGATACCCTACTTAGTGAAAAGTTATGTTCAACTTGTCTATTCAATAGTTCACTCAGGAATAATAAGCTGATGAGGATTCTTCGGCGTTCGAGGGTTTCTAGGCTAGACTATATGATGTAAGTTTGGGTGAGACTCTGTATTTCTCATGATGAAGGTATCTCAGGAATTTATTTCGTATGTTTTTTTTTAAGTATACATATTTTGCTGCACACAGTTGTAAAAAGCAGATGATGTTTTATGATACTTGCAGCTGTGGATAATTGAAATCAACGTTTCAAAATCATAATCAGCTTCTTAGTTCCTTCTCCAATATTTTGAATGCATCTAGTGAACTTCAAATCGCTTGGAAATATTATGCCCGAATAGCCCAAGAAAAGTGTTTGGCATTGTATAGATAATATTATGTCTATTTTCATTATCACGGACAATTTCAATATGTTATCGATGTTCTTTCAAATTTTTTAATGATCATTGAAGTCTTCAATTTCTCATTTTCACATTTTGAAGTAATCTGCATATAATGACACCACGTCTGAAAAATCATTCATAATGATTGTGAAGAATAGTGGCCCCAAGTTCGAGTCTCATTGTGGTACACCTGGGCCTGCCAAAGAAGGCTGAGATTTCTCAATTCCGTAGATAACATGTTGACTCCTTTACTCCAGGTATGATATGGGCCCAATTAATGAGTGATCACTAGATCTATACAATTTCAGTTATGCAATATTATGTCATGTTTGACTTTTTCAAACGCTTCTGCAAATCTGTGTGAATGCAATCTATATACTTGTGTTGCAGAATTTATGCAAGGTCGCTCCATTACATGTACTGCTTGTTTATTTGTGCATATATTTTTTCATTCAGTTGAAATTCTTGTTCATCGACTTACCTTTTCCGGCCAATAGATTGATAGACATGGGTCCATTGAAATTGTCCACCCAACCATCTATAGGATCATTCGAGCTTGGTAGAACTATAATAAATAATGATTTTCATTGTTATTTGTTTGGATAACAGGTAAGTATGTTCATTTGATTCTGAATTCGAGATGAGGATGAACATTCCATATGATTTTGTATACAAAGGTTGTGATTATATTGCTGTTCTCATCCTCATCAAATATTCATATACAGTGTATGCGTGGCAAAAAACAGGGATATTGATGATATAGTCACTCAATGAACTTTCTCCGAAGTAAAAATTAGTGAGTTTTTTGTACCCTTCCTGCACAATCGATAATTTGATATTTCAAAGTTCATCAAATTGGGATATCATCAAAGGAAGGCAGTAGAGCTCGATGTCATCTTGACGACATTTATTTACATTGTTGATCAATTAGTAACATCATTTGGCATAATATGATTTGCGATTGAAAAATCATGTGGCGAATCTCAAGAAACAGCTTTTTGTTGAAAGTAGGGCTCCGTGTCCTGAGAGCATGTATGATAGCAAAATCTAATATCATATACCAAAATCTTCAGCAGTATATAAAAACTCATATCGAGTGAGAGAAATAATCTGTTCATATTTTTGACCTTCGAATTGTTTTACAGATCGTGTACATGATTGCAAGCATATCAATGAATATTTCCATTGAGGAGAAATCTTCTCTGATATGTTATAATAATAATAGTTCTATCTCGGTATATTCAACAAAAAACAACTACAGTCCTGGCCATTGCCAGGACGAACATTAAACTACATCTATTGAACATAATATGTCCGTTTTGTTGACGCTAACCTAGTTCTGTAACGGGTCAGTGAAAATATATCGAAAAACATTATATCGAAAGACAAAATATCGAAAACAAAATATCAAGAAACCGAATATCGAATGGAAAAAATATCGAACGGAAAAAATGTCGAACGGAAAAAATATCGACTGACATAACAGCGAATGGAAATATTATCGAATTACATAATGTCGAAGGGAAAAAATATCGACACAGTATATTATCGAATAACAAGATAGCGAAAAGGAAATATATTATAATTAATGAAACAACTGACTTTGATAAGTTGATTTAAAAGCTGGTGTCAAAATGTCTTCGAATTGTCAATATGTTTCTAGCCAGAAGGGAAATAATAAACTATATCACAATGGTTATTTATACACAAACAATCAGACACCGTCAGTTATTGGAAATGTGAGCAATGGAAAATCAATGGATGTAAAGGAAGAGCTATGAGCGCAGATATGGAATAGCAACTGAGAAAAATGATCACAACCATACAGGAGACATGAAAATGATCAAAATCTGTTTTTGCGTATGTATGTACTTTATTTTTCCGAAGCGCTGGTCTTGATTCAGTTGTCTATTAGTCAGGTCGTGCAGTAGCGGGTTTTCGTGGGTTTCTGTTCTTCCTAATGTAGTCTGCGCGCGTGTTGTCTTATGTAGTTGTCTATGAAGTCTGGGTTTATGTTCAGGTCCCTATAGATAAATTTATTCACGATATACCATAGGAAATTCATTGCCATTCTTATTGAGACATTTAGAAAAGCCTGTATTCGCTTTTTGTATGTCTCTGCGCATTGGCCCCATGCACTTGATGCATACAAAATTATTGAAAGTAGAATGGTTCTCATTAGGCGCAGCTTCAACTCTAGAGCCATGTTGCTTCTGCGACCTATTAGAGGCTGTAGGTTTTGCCTTGCGGCTTCACCCAAGATTGGTCGTTTTGTGATGTGTTGTCTGGAAGTGAGGTTGTTATCTAGGGTTACCCCTAGATATTTTGCCCAATCTGCCCATGGTTTCTGTGTGTCGTTTAGTATTACGTGTCCTGTGGGTTTGATACGTCGTCTAGTGGCTTGCCAACAAAATCAATCGGCAATATAGTCTCAGAGGAATTCCCCGTGGGCCCAGATGGGCCACTCTGGTTTAACGCCATCTAGATCATAATAAAGGAGAGAAACACTTCACAAAACTGAAATACCCGAATGTGAGTGGCTGATTTCTTGATTGGCGTAATTTCAACTACTAAATAGCCACAATGCTCAAAGTAGAATGGAATATCGAATGAATACAAGAGAGCTCGAAGTCGCTTTCTCAAATGTTCATGAAATGAATAACATTGGTATATGACGAAAGGAAATCAACTACCCTTCTGGATAATATACCTCGAGAGGATGTTATTCAATGATTTTCGAGGCATCAGACAGGGCAGTAGTTGTTTTTTCCTGGTCATTTATCATCGTTGTTGATTTCATGGAAATTCAGTGAAAATTATTTTCAGCTTTTCCGTATTTATTCACCATTTCACCCCACTTCGATCCATGTAGCTATCTCGTAGTTGAAATCTCAACAGGCAAGCAATCAGCCACTTCTATATGATTATTTCAGTTCTGTGAAGTGTTTCTTTTTTTTTTGTATTGTATATTTGGCGTGGAACCCGTGTGGCACACCTGGACTCACGGGTGATTTCTCTGAGATATATTCATAGCTCGCTGACTAGGGCAAATGTCTACCCAAATATGTTAAAAGTGTATTTTCTCTGAAGTGAAATTGGATCTTCTGCCTGAGTTTCCACGGAACAGTGACATTCATTTCATTCAATGAATCGATTATTTCGTCAATTGAACCATGTTCACAAGCAGCAACTGATGATTTCACAAGTTTTTTCTTTACATACACCGCAAAACCTTGACTATCTCGATCCTGCTCTCCTGCATCCACCGACTCTACCAAAAGACGTTTTGTACTCGAAGTTGTAACTGGAATGGGGCCAGTTTGTATCTTCTTCCAACCTCATTATTCAACTACATTCGGACGACAATGCCATAGTTGATGTCGTGCAATTGCGCTTGTTGGTGGTTAGGATGCCACATTGAATTTACTTCTTGTTACCAACTCCACAGAACTATGGTATCGATATTCATCAAGATCGATATCATTTGTGTTATTGGATCCATAGAGTGCAAACTGGCCATTGGATTAACTATTTTGAAAAATCTTGCTTTCAATGCACTACCCGCTTTTTCATCTTGTGACTGCAAGGCTGCTTGTGGTAATCAGAACAGCAGGACTGAGATGTTTAATGATTTGTAGTGTCTGCAAGAGAAGAACTTGTGAAGATATCAGCCAAGCACTAGAAGATTTCGATGAGGAAGACCTTCTTCGACTGCTTGATGATTCTTCATCGACTGCAGAAGGAGAATCCATTTTCTTCGTTGAAGATATAGAAATCAACGAGCCAGGTCTGTCTGGACTCTGCCAAATATAATTTCCGTACCTCAGTGAATCAGGCTTTCAAGGGACATCACGAAAAATAATGCGCTTGGTACTCTACTTCCCTCTTAGGTGATGTGGAAACACGTACAGCATTTCGAATCGAAATAAATTGATTATGAATTATTGACATGGATTGGAAAATGAATCAATGGATCAATTGAATGAGAAATGTATGATGAATTTTCATGAATTCTCACAATATTAAATTCGAGAATCTCTAATACACATAATTCGAAATTTCCGAAATTCTCTCTAGCAAAACTATGATAGGAAATTTTTATCTAATCAGCAAGCTATCGATATAACAATGAACCAATTGGATAGCCCATATTAAGAATGAATTTATATGCATGAATGAAGATAGTAGAAGGCAGTTCATGAAGATCAACAAAATATGTTGTCATTTAATCAGCTCTTGAGCCTGAGAAGCTCACTTCAGCAAAAATATGCTCAAAAAGTTTCTTATAGAAAATCGTTTTTTCCTCAATTGTTGTCTCGGAATTTTTTCTTCTGAAAACGCACAGTTTTGAAGATATTTGCAAGAAACCGTTTTTGTGCGCCGTCATGGCAAGATGGCGGCGCCGGCGGCATGTCTCGTAATGTGCATTTCAAGAATTTCAGATCCATATTCCCAAACTTATATACCTACAAAATTTCGAAACTCCTGGACTTATTTTCAGGTAAAAATCTTCAGTGACTAATTTAATATAGCTATCTCGTAGTTGAAATGACGCCATTGAAGCAATCAGTCATCAGTCACCCTCATCTGAGTCAATTTTGTGATATGGTCTTGATGGCGTTTGACCCGTGTGGCACACTTGGGCCCACCTGAGATTATTTTGAGACGATAAATATTGCAGATTGATTTTGTTGGGCCAGATTGCGCATAGTCAAGGATCTTTGGACTGCTAGCTGGAGACTACCCTACCCTAATGAGTGCCAGAAAAGCTCGAAACCGGTCAATAGGTGTCGTTACCCTGGCGGAATCCAATGTTTCGTGAACTACCATTGTTGTTCATTTCATTTGTGGAGATGACTTTGAGCTTGATTGCATTCATTTAACATTTCACCCCACTTTGAGCATTGTGGCTATTTCGTGGTTGGGCTATTTGCCACGCTGAACATTGAATTGAAGAGCTTCATATGATACAATGACAAGCCACACAGGAGTTCAAAATGGGTTAGTTGAAACAAAAGTATAACAAGCCACTAAAAAATTTGAACGGACATTCTTCAATGCATGGCACGAAAAACCAATTGTTATACTATTGCATAGGTCTATTTTTTTTTATTCACTACCTGATATAATGACAAGCCACGCGAATTGGCCAATGCGAAAGATGTTTCGATAATGTTGTGAACTCTGACGATTCTATTGAGAAAAATAAAGAGGTTGAGTCGACATTCAATGACAGTGACCGTGGCCGTAAGAATGTAAATCTAGGAGTGACTCAAGTGATGAAAATGGAAACAATATTACCTTTTATAAATGAATGTCATTGTAGTAGCATGTCACGTGTCTTGAAATTTTATTGCATTTTGTTTAAGGCTAATAAATTAAAAGAAGGTGAGAAATTAACGAACACTTTCTGGAAAATTCCAACAAGTCGCCGAAAATAGATAAACTGATAGTGGAATCAGGGGCTATCGTATATAAAAGTTTGGGCATTCATTTCAAATGCAATAATGTGAAGAGCCACATCTTCTTCTGAAACATAGGGCATGACGCATCGACCAATATCAGAATGAAGTCATCGAAAGTTTAACTGGATTCTTCATACTTTTTTCAACATTCAAAGCCGAATATCCGAGCAAATATCTCATCTTCACTTTCCTGAGGCTTGTTATTGTTTGACATTGAGCCATCCAATCATATTCGTTCAACATCCAAGAGAAGGATATGAAAATAAGAATATTCTCAAATTGAGAATTGACATCAGAAAAGAATTCATTTTCTGTTGGATATGGCGAGAGGAATAATATTTTGCTAAGATAGAGATTGCGAATTATCTCAATTCATTCTTCATGTATTCATTGTTTTTATGTTGATGATATATCTGAGAATATAACACTTCAATACTCTCATACTAAATTTACCAGTTCTGATCACAGTTTCGTGATTGGGTTTCCTTCATTCCGAATTCCATTCCACTCCCTGAAAGATGGAATGATATTCTATTTTTTTCGTGTCAAGGGGCTTGTTAAGAGAAGAAATTACATGATGAGGTGTTTCCTGACTATTTCGAGTTATGTTCAGATGCCTCATGAATAAAATGCGATTGATCTGAATAATATCCACTACATTTTTATTAATTGACTGGTTGATATATCAATAGATTGTGAGGTTGTTTTTCAAAACTCCAAAAAAGTTTCTTGAGTTTTCCAGATGTTGAAGATGAACCAAAATTTTGTTTCAACAAAATGTTTCATGAAATTGTTTGTAACATTGTAGTCAGTGCAAAAAGGATTTCAAAAAAATTCTCATTGAGACGGCATGTTTCGCTGGTAGAAAAGATTCTCTAAGTGAGATTCTTGTTAAATATACCTAACTCACACTGACTAGCTCAATTTATACTTTCTGAGCCTGGAGGGTTAATATGACCTGTGGAAAAGTTGGTTGGAACTCCATTTTTCGAAATTATAATGATATCCCCAGAAATTATTGATGTCTCAACCAGGTATCTTATCCAATATTTTTAATTCTGTTTGATGTTGTGAAAAATCATTAGATCATAACGTGAAGTATAATCTCATCAAATCACATAAGTTCCAATTATTTGGAGTATTCAAGATTTGCAATGAATTCGTACTTACCGATGGACGGTCTTGTTATAATTGCTGGGATTTGATTAGTACACAAATCTATCACAAGTTGCTCTGCCATTCGTTTAGTGAAAGTATACGTATTTGGCAATGGATTGATGAATTTTTCTGTCAATACTTGTAGGGTCATGTCATCGTATGTTTCAGCCATTTCTATCGCTATCCTCCAATCATGGATGGGGGGATACACCTTCTCTTCTATCACGTGCTGATCGAAATTGCTGTACGCTGTAGAACAGTAGACGAATACATCCAATGATGCACATTGTTTGGCCAATGAAATGACTTCTCTAGTGCTTCGGGTATTGGCAAAAATGGCAGATTTCAAGAAATCGTTGAATCTCACAGAGGCTGCGATGTGATATATTATCGAAACGTTATCTAGAATGATCGTGGTATCACTCTCGTTCATTCCTGAAAACACAATATTTTAATAGCTTCTCATATGGACTCTGAGTGTTCCTATATGTACATTTCAGAGCAGCCTCAGGAGATAATTCGGTTGTGAGTGTTCATGGGAAAATAGTGCAGAATTAAGTTTCACACCCTGCTGAAAGAGGGCAAAAGATGTATCATAGCCACTAATCGCATGCAGAGCAAAACATGTTTCCTTTCTCTTCAGGATAGCTCAATGAGTGTACCGAATACAATAAAATAACACAGGCACATAAGAAAATGTTTTTCGCCAGAGCTCCGACCCTTGGTTCTCCATTTTTTTTTGTTACACAGACATTTCATATTTTTTTCATTGCTCAGAATCAATTGGATCCTGAAAACTACGAAATCATACGATGATTCATCGTGACAATCTGAAACAGATTCTTTGTTAATTTTTCAACAGGAGGTGTAAATTGTTACATTCTTTGTCGATTTATTCATCAGTATAATATTGAAGATATTCATTCGATGTTATCAAATATCATAAGAAATAACGTAAACCTTCCCAAACCAGTCCTCAACAATAACCAAACGATTTGTTACCAAATCATGTCCATGCAATCAATATTCCAGTTCAATATTCAAATATTCTATTGTATCATCATTATTATTATTATAATAATGATAATAATTATTATTATTATCATGGAGGTTGATGTGAATTTGAACTTTCATATATTGTAGTTTTGTATCCTCATCATTTCATTTATTCATATATCATTTTATCATTGCGTATTCTATTACTCATTAGTATATTCTACAATTCAATATGTTCAACATAAATTCTCAACATTTTGACATGAATCATTAGGCATATTGAGATTTCAAAATGATGTTCAAATTCTACTGTGAGTACCACGTACAAGCTGACCATTAGAACCATCTCCTGTGGAAATGAACAGTTTATTGGCACACTCAACAAAACTGATGTAAATGCATTAATTCGTTCTGTGAATATGTTCCATAAATAAACATATGCCGGGTCTACCAGTACGGAGATAATGCAAAATTGAACGATTTTCTGCGTTATTTTCTAAGATGGCGGCTGACGCAAGCGATCACTGAGGTCGCAAATTTGGAAATTTTATACAAACCGTGGATTCTTGGATATATACAAATATCAAAACCACCAGACTCAAGGTCCCTGGCTACTAGACTACCTGGATAATATATAATATTATTCTGCGGTGGACCTATACTTTGGTGCTTCTTAAAGCAACCTATAATAGCGGTATCCAATATTGAAGCTGAATATATTGCAGCAGTAAATTGTTTCAAGGAAGTTCTACATCTGAAAAATTTAACCGGATATATAATTTCACAGAAAGTTCAAGTAACTTTTTACATGGTCAATCAGAGTTTCATGAAGCTTATCAAGAATGTGGTCGTCAAAAGAAGAAGGAAGCACATCAATACAACATCATTTTATACTTGAGAAAATAACTGAAAAACTCACCAATATAGTGTATTGTTCAAACACAGATCAAGTATCAGATATTCTTACGAAATCGCCATATTCATTGAAGTTTTCGAAGCACAGAGACGAGCTTATTTCATCGAATTATTGTATATTAATTTTTTAAGCGATTCCTGTACATATTGTTGAACCGGAAAGAGGTGATGAGAAAAATCCAGCAATATGTGTATCTGATATCAATATTCATTGGAGTTATTGTTATATGATGAATTACAAAACATGAAAATACATTTTTTCTTTATTTGATCACTTTCCAAGATGCTTCACAATGGTTATAGGTACCTACTTATCAAGTTGAATCTAGAACTATTTCATTGTCGCATACCTCTTTGAAACTTTGATATTGAAGGATCATCTCATAACTGTCCTATTTCTCGACATGTATTGTTTGTGAATGATTCCAATTTTTCATGGAAAATCTCCGAACAACGAAGGTTTCCACTCAATAATAGTTCGCAAAATTATTATTGTATCTCTCCTGAACTCCATAAATCCCTAGTAGATCGCACACTATTTGACAAAATCAAAAATATCCGAAGATCACTAGAAACATTTCCAAAATCGATTCATCCCAATTGGCAGAACTCAATGTGATGAAAGACAATCTGATGATTGTACAAACTGGCACATGCCCGAGAAATTTGGATTGAGAAGATTATTCAAATAGTAACTATCTGACAGTTGTGAATCTTCATACAATGAATAACGACTTTCAATGAGTGTCAGCTAATATTGTTCTGATAACAGTTTCGTTTCTGAATGATTTTGAATTCGAATTTCATGTTATTCTTGCTGTTGAGTGCTATTGCATCATATGTTGATGTAATCAAATCGTATAATGGTCAACCTGCTCCAGATATACTGATTTTTCAATGCTACAATAAGCTCCCTTCGACTACGTTTCACGATGCAAACTCCTTACTCATGGAGAATGAATGTCATTTCGTGCTCGTTGAACAATTCCCAATCTTTCATCATCCAGTGTCTCCTATTTCGTAACAAATAAATCAAATTAACATGAATCGTGGGCGAAGCTGAGTTTCTAGTCGTTGAATTCTGAAATCGGTCGTCATTCAATTAGCATTGGAATTTTTTGTTAAACAAGTATTCCTAAGAACTCATATCATCCGAAAGGGTCAAGAGAATTTAACACCTACCTCCTCTTCCTGTCCTCCCTCGGTAGGCGCGATGTTTCAAGAACATTGTGGGAATTTTCTTTCGTACGCTTCAAGAGATGGACGAAAAAAAAAAACAGATTGATGAACTCAGTAACAGTATTCATCCTCATTGGACACAATTTTCACCTCAATAACTGGACTGCTGATTGTTTCAAGAATCGAAAATTTCTGATCAATAGCTGTCGAACATCGAATATATTGGGACAATATCGGTGCAATATTACGAAAATATCGGCAAAATATTGTGAAATAGCCCAGTCGGCAGGTCGTGAAAAAGGGGTGTCACGATGAAAAATTCAGAAGTTGATGGAATTTAGGTATGTTATTTGTACATGTTAAGTGATGTCAAATCCAAGTTTTCGACCTCGAGGAGGTTGTGGAAAATTTTTGGCGGTCAAAAAACCTCGAAATTTTCGGACTTGTTTCAGTTTTTCATCTATAACTCGACAACGGTCAATCCTACGGGAAAAAACATGGTATACTAAATTAAAGAAGACAAAATTCCTCGTTGACTCACGAAAAAAAAAACTGAAATCGGAGAAGTAGTAAAGTTTTCACGAGCGATCGAAATATGGTGATTATTTCGAATTTTGGTAAAACCTGCCATAACCCCATTTTCAAAGTGCTGCATCTTTTTTATTATTCATCTCAGAAAAAAAATTATTCCTCTCAAAAAGTTCTGTATGTCCTAAAATCTTAAATACAATCATCCGATATCATTTTTTTTCAGTCTAATACACGGTGAGCCAAATATAAAGGTACTTTACTCTTGGGTACAATTCACATTTTTTGACACACCGCGTATATGACTGAATAATTTTTATATCTGATGATTGTATTTCAGATTATAGAATATACAAAAATTTTTATGAAGAATAACTTTTTAGTGAAACATACTGTATTTAGGTAGAAATAAATCTTGAGAATTTATTATCCTCACAAAAGCTGTTACTAATTCTGTTATATGGATATGGAAACCGTCAGAGATAGAACAAAGTTCAAAGGGAGGCAAAGTTGCGTAAACAGAAGTCCAACAAAATGCAGTTAATAAATAAAGAAAAAACCGCTTATTTTAGGAGATATGCGTCAGAAAATCAATTTGATATTGTCATTCTGTATGACGTAGGTCATTAGAAGTACCAATGATTATGTTGAATTACTGTCCATTGAATAAAGTTGTTAATAACTAAATAATGGGCCACATTCTTTTAGTTTCCTTCATGTATATCTCCTGAGATAGTTGTATTTTTTAAGGTTTATTGTCTGCATTTTTTGGGGCTTATGATTACGTAACTTTGCATTCATTCAAACATAGATAGATAGATAGAGATAGATTTATTTGTTTCAAAATCATACAGTTTAAGACAGAAGAAATTCTCTTTCTCCATGCCATAAGTGGATGCGACACTACTTCCGCACCCTTTGGTTTGGGAAAGAAGAAGGTTTTCAGCACGTACGCGAAGAATCCCTTCCTTACGCCCAACGTTTTGATTTTCACCAAACCAGATGCCACTGCATCAGAAATTTGTGAAGCGGGCGAAACATTTCTGGTGACAATGTATGGGGGAGACCCCGAGCGAGACAACCTTGATGGACTGCGATACAAAATATTCACCAAGTCGGTGTCAAAAGCCGAATTTCAACTTGCCAGGCTTCCACCTACTAGTGATGCTGGTAGGTATCATTCCTTCCGTACATACCAGCAGGTACAAACTTGGTTAGAAAACAACAAGATCCCTGCAGGGGTTGGTCCCTAACCAAGCAAGGAGTGATACCTATCACCACTACGAAGAATGCAGCCCCTGAGTCTCTCCTGAAGATTCTTGCCTGCAAGTGTGCCAGAGGCTGCAGCACCGCGGCCTGTAGTTGCAAGAAGGCAGGCCTGCGGTGCTCAGTTATTTGCAAGCACTGCTCCGGCCACGCCTGCGAGAACTCGCGCGTGCCAGAACTCAATGAGGACGACGAAGAGGAGGACGACGACCTCCTGGAAGATCTCATCGCCCAAGAGGAGCACGAACTTGAGGACGACGACGTCGAACCTCAGCCAAAAGGGTCTCGACTCAATCAATGTATGTATCTCCATTCATTATTATTCATTAGCGTTCTCATTTTTTACATGAAATATTTCATTGTTGCCTTTTTTTTCGCAGAACATAACCTTCGAAGACTCGATATGAAGACTGATGCAGATACATTATGTATTATATAGTGTGTAGATATGTATATGTTTTTATGCTATACCTACTAATGAATTCTTCGTAAATATATTTTTTCACATAATTACATTTATTATCTATTGGGTATGACATTGTTCTCCGTCAACCATTATTATTTTCCTAGGTATCAATAAAATTGAGACGGAATCACAAGGTGGTCATGGGTCATTGGGATCATTTACCCCAAGTAAAAAGCATAGAATCAATAGGTAGCTATTTTCGTGAAACGTTAATTTTTTAAAAACAGTCCCAACAATTTCAGAAATTGAGCTGATTTCAAAATGTTAGTGCATTTTGAACTCTCTGATTGATACTCTACAAACTCTAAGGAGGGAGGTTGAAAAAAAAAGTAATTTTGTAAAGATACGGCACTTTGAAAATGGGGGTGACGGCAGTTTTTACCAAAATTGGAAATAATCACCATACTTTGATCGCTCGTGAAAACTTTATTACAGCTCCGATTCCAGTTTTTATTTCGTGAGTCGATAGGAAATTGTGTCTTCTTTAATTTAGTATACTATGTTTTTTCCCGTAGGATTGACCGTTGTCGAGTTATAGGTGAAAAACTTAAACAAGTCCGAATATTTCGAGGTTTTTTGGCCGCCAAAAATTTTCCACAACCTCCTCGAGGTCGAAAACTTGGATTTGGCATCACTAAACATGTACAAACAACATACTAAAATTTCATTAACTTCTGAATTTTTCATCGCTAAAACTACCTGCCGACTGGACTAAAAGTAATATTGGCGAGAAAAAGAATGTGAACATTCCGCGATATTAGTACAATATCAGTTTCCAAATGTGGGTAGAATATTCTCATATCAGTATTGGTTGAATATTCGTGAAGTTATATTGGTCACAAAATGTAATATCAATATTGGCGAGAAATTGATAGTGAAAATTCATCAATATTGGTGCAATATTATATGAAAATATCGGTGAATCATTGAAAAACATCATGAAGCTATGATGTCTCAAAAATATTGGCAGAATATTGTCATACCAACATTGCTGGAATATTATAGTAATAAACTAGTGCAATATTGGTTGGAAATATTGGTACATTATTGAAAATCATTATGTAGCTATGTTGTCTTCGAAATATTGGTGGAATATTATCATATCAATATTTACGAGTTATTCGCATCAGAAATAATCACAAAGGTCAGCCCATCCGAAGTGCAATGGGGGGCCTTGCCTTGGGGAAGCCGCCTCATTGATCACGGTTAACTCCTACTCCAGGTTATAATGCTTTACAATCGTCTAGAGCCAATATTTATATTCTCTCGTCTGATCGGCAATGGGAGTACGTTACGAATCATTTATAGCGCCATCTATCGACATCGGTTTGAGAGTGCATGCTATGGAATTAATATCGAAATTTCAATATCGATATGTATTCTCAAAACAATACGTGAACAATATTGCTCACATGATATAGTGAATCAGATATCAGTCAATATAAGATGATATTACTTTCTGAATATTCCTTGAAAACTATTCAACCGATATGCAATTGAACTTGAAAATACAATATTGTTTTCCTCTTCTATGACCGATATAAGATATATATTGAATGGCTGTTAATGATATTCATATTTGAAACAATATGCATTCCATGTCTTTCGCATGATATAGTTGAAACGATATCAATCAATTTGGGTGAATATGATGTTTCGAATATTGTCGAATGAACAATATTCAAAAATGAGCCTGTCGAACTCGAATATACAATTTTGCATAACCGCTTCATAATCGACATAGGGAAAATGTTCAGATTGCGATATTGGTTATAATTGTTGGAAACAATATGTATACGGTATCTTCGGCCGGCGTGATATAGTTGAAATGATATCAATCAATAAAGGTAAATTCAATGTGCCAAATATTGTTGAAACAATATTCTACCAATGTGCCGTCGAACTCGAACATACAATATTTCATAATCACTTCAGAATTGACATGGGGGGAATGTTCGAATTGCTATATTGGTTATAATTGTTGGAAACAATATGTATACGATACCTTCCGCATGATATGGATAAAATGATATCAATCAACATAGGTGAATATGGTGTTTCGAATATTGTTGAAACAATATTCAACCAATATGCCATCGAACTTCAATATACAATATTGCACAACCGCTCCAGAATCGACATGAGGAGAATATTCAAATCACGATATTGGTTATAAATGTAGGAAACAAAATGTATACGATATCTTCCGCATGATATAGATATAATGATATCAATCAATTTAGGTCAATATGATGTTTCAAATATTGTTAAAACAATATCCAACCAATATGCTGTTCAACTTGAATATACAATATTGCATAACCGCTTCAGATTCGACATGGGGAGAATGTTCAAATCGCGATATTGGTTATTAATGTCGAGAACAATATGTATACGATGTTGTTGTATCGACATTTGTAAAACAATATTATATAACATTCATGGATATGTTTTTCAACACATTGTTAACGAATTTTACAACCAATATTGCTCCAATATTTCAGCTGACAATCCATATTCAGCTCAGGTTGAACCAATATTTCACCAATATTATCATTTCAATATTGTATGTCCAATATACTCCCATATTGGACCTATATTATGTTTCACATGTACGATATATCTATATCGGCCCAATATGAAATCGGGTTCCAGCCAATATGATGTGCTACCTGGGTTCTAGCCGTATTTCACAATCTAATTCGAGTACTCACCAAGATTGACCTTTGTGATATCTCCTTCAACCCCAATAACTCTTTTGATGATTGCAATATTATCTGCCTTCAGTTGATCGAATAACTACAAGAAAGAAAATTCGATAATGAAAATGAAAATACTTGTAGGAATGGACGCCATGTTCATTATATCAGAAAAAATTTGTGAATGTAGTTTATAGTACTTATTCAATATATATGACAAACTACAAACGGATCACGAAAACATGAAATGAATCATCACCATCACAATGTGAATATGTAGAAATAATGATAAGGATATCCATTCTGGACGATCGAATAGTGTAGTGTTTCATTTAGTTACACATTGTCAGTATCAACTGTTTTTCAATCGAACTTATTCGTTATTCGGTTTATCAGAAAGTTTAAAGGTTACGCCTTGGCTGCGTATTTACCAACTGTACTACGTTGCAAACCCATCCTGCTCCATACAGCGGTTGACTCGGGTTGAGGTTTCTCTTACAATTGCTAATATTATAATATGAAAATGCAGATTATGATGATGAGAAAAATTATAATAACAATCATAAAAAAACACGTAGTCATCTCCACGGAGTATATTTTCCAAAATTATCGGTTAGAAGGAAGCTGAGATACAGATGGGGCTCCCAAAATTCAACATTTTCAATTTCGCTCTGATGTTCACGGTATTCACGGTATCGTGAGTTCTGCAAAAAAATAGCAAACTTTCGCGAAATCCGCGAATTTATATCTTCAAACATCAGTGAGATATCCCGTTAGGAAATCGGAAATTGAAAAGCTTGTACATGCGGTGTCAGTTCCAATAACGACCAGATCCAACACCTAAAATTAAATTGAGTCCACAGAAAATAAATAATTTCGTAATATAGGTACATCGAAGTTCTCGAAAGTATGTTATTAAACCGTAACCACGTTGACTATATAACTGAGTACCATCAAAGAATACTTATTCCATAGCATTTCCGGATACCTATATACAGAGTGTATCTGAATAATTCCGAAAAAATTCAAGAGTTGATTTCTTGTGAATAAACATGTGTCCTAACTTGCTACGTTTTTGAGATACAGAGGAGTAGTATTTGTTTTAATATTCAACCCCCTTGTATACACTTTCATGATGCCAAAATGTATGCATGGTTGGAGACCAAGGCAGCCCAGAAATTCCAAATTGATTGAAATTGGGATTATTTTGTAATTTCGATGAAAGTCTTGAGAACACCTATATCGAATTTGAAGTCGAATCGAGTTTTTATTAATTCCTCAGGAACTGAGCTAGATACAAAATTCACACTGGAATAATCCACGCTCATTCATCTCTTAGAGTAATGTTTCAATAGTCCAGAATTTCGAAATATCCAATATTTTTGTTGAAGCAATTCTTACTACAACGCCCCTTTTTCTGACTAGAGAACTGTTTCAGATCATACGTAAATTTTATTATTCTCTACAATGAAGACAGATATAATATGTATTCCCTCATAATACCGTTCTGCCTTGATTTGTTCAGTCAACCAAAATTTCTTGATGGTTCGACTCGATTTTTCCAATATTTTTGTCTTCCATACCTCAACAGCATGATTATAGAAATTATCAGTTATAAAACCTGTGGTATCAAAATTTCATATTCGACTTCATTATGAACACAGATGAAAGATAGAGAAATAAAACTGGCGTGGAATCAGCTCTTATCATTGATGAACAGCGACTCTCTGAACCCTCCTAAACACATCAATTACCGTTGATGAACCAAAACATGGTTTTTCACGCCAAGTCAGCAGGTATTCATCACAAAGTATTAATCCACGCGAGATTAGTGTGCACTGATCATTAATGGATTCTTCAAGTCTCCAATTGGACCCCTTTGAGAAATATGGATGATTTCTACGATTTGAATATAAAGTAGGTATCTGATTGTGGGTACTAATGAAGAACATACAATTTTACCCCTAATCGAATGGCTTTTTGCTCTGACTGCTTCCATTATACGTCTTGAAGAGTTTTCAGAATCATCTATTCCTGATATATCAAAAACAAACAATGTATCATGTGGAGACATTGTCATCACATCATCAACTGAAAGCGTAAATTACGATATATAATGTCGGTTTTGGAGTAGGCATCAAACCTCACCATGATTTTGAGTAGACGAAAACCATCCTCTGTGGAATTAATTGAACAGATGTTCAGCTGATGCATCCGTAGACCATCATTCGTAATTGGATTCGAGGAACCTCCTGTGGGAACCTCGAGTACGTCTCATGTGATAGGTATGTACAGACAGGCATAAAATGTATTTTGAATAGGTCTTCAAACAACTTTCTATTCCTCAATATTATTCAACAAGAAGTTATGCAGTCTTGAACATAAAACGTCATCACAATACTAAGTATAATATCGATATAACCAGAGATCCGATGATAATATTTTTGACCGTTCGGTGATGCATTCGATGACAAGCAGTCACGAGTGGCAGCCAATGGCAAAGCCAAAGCAACAATTAGTTGTATGTAAAACCGATGAAAATGGATGAACTAAGTCTCAGCAGTTTTCCCCCCCTGCTGTATCACTTTAAATTCACTTGAACCAAACCCTAAAAAAAAATGTATTGATAAGGAATTTTTCTAATTTTGACATGTAATGTGACACTTTTCAAAACTGACGGAAGTTTTGAAATGTCTTACTTTACGTAACCAGTTGCGTAAAGTAAAATTTTACATAACTGGTGATGTAATGTTCATTTCATTCATTCATTTCACACAACAAGAGTCGGCAGAACTCATGTAAAACTGGTCATTATTTTTGTTCATGCGAAATGTTTCGTCAAAATTAGAAAAAATATTGTACGTGACACGTTAGGAAACGCCATTTTGTGTAACTCTGTGATGTTGCGGGATCTCGCTTCGCTCGTCCCGCAAAATCCCATCCCCAGCAAACATGGAAAGGCGGTAGAAAGCCGGGCCCATGGCGAGAACGGCGGGCAAATGTCGATGTCGGCATTCCTCGAAAGGCCCTCCATATAATTTCGAAGGATTATATGACGAAGGCAGAATGTACACATACTTATGATGGGCCTCTGTTTCCCAGCCGCTAGTCTTCCGCTGTATGTATCCAAGTCCGAGGGCCATCAAAATTTCAACGGAGTGAGCCGTCATCACTCACTCAACGTTGGCATCCCTCGCTCGCATGAGTTTTTATTTTGATCATTTTGCAGTGGTAACAATGATTCAGTATGGCGTATATTAATTTCTTTGTTTATGTTGTTTCAACACTCTCAACAGAGATTTCAGTACTGTGTTCAGTTCGTGTTTGGTTTTCTAGTGGATTCTTATACAAAGTGGAAGGCTATTGAAATAAATACAGAGTGAGTGAGGAACAAACATATATACAAACTTGCACAGCTAAATAATGCCCCTATTTTAGATAATAATTTAACAAACACCATTGGACAAACAGATGCAATAATAGTTTGGACATGTTTAGCGGATACACAAGAATCTAATAATATAATGATATGAGGACTTTGAAGATGCATGAGCTTTCATTACATATGAATCATAAATCTATTTTCGAAACGAAAATCAAAGAGTACCTACTTGAAGAAACAGTTATATTTCAAGAATTACTGTAGGTATGTATAATGTTGCATGTTTTGGATTAGTAGAGAATGAAATCATTCAATCTTTCAGCAACAAAATCAACAACCAGCAGCCCATCAATCACAGATATTAATGAAAAAATCACACAATGATATAAATTTCTTCATGGTATATGATATCTCACTTCCAGGCAACACTCATATCAATATATGATAAAGAGTGAGGTTCTCCATATCTGGGAATTGTTTTCTTGTGGATTGAACTCTATTGTTGACAATAACTTGATCAATATAATAACTGATTACCTACATACATTACTTTCAAGTTATTAGGTAGGTACATAGGTGATGTAATTTTTGACCTAGAGTTAGCAACTTTTTGAAACAAGTGGAGAAACAAATATCTATCCTGCATGATGAAACACAAATACCTATTATTGTAAATTGTAGGTACCTTTTCATGATGAGTATACAGAGTGATATGTAGAACTAAAATTAAGATGTTTGATGTTTCCATAGTTGTGATATGTATTGTTTGAGATCATGGCAATAATATACACACATGGATATTTTCAGTTCTTGTTTTTGTATGGGGTATTTATACTGCTAGTTTCCTGAAAAAAACTGTGATATCAGCATTTTTATGTAATCATTCAACAACTTCAGGTAAGGAGTGAATTCCACATTTCTGTTATACCCAGAGGATTCACAAAAAACTGGGAGACCTCAATTCTGTTTTTTGAAATTCCACATTTTTCAACCAGTTTGAAAATAAAGAGAGTGATGTAGAGTGAAAATGAGATACTTTGCTTTCCAAGTGGTGATATAAACTGGGATACCTATCAAAAAACTTATTTTCACTGAGATATATGCATTACCCTGTATATTTTTTGACAAACCTAGTTGAAAAATAGGACATCAAAAAACAGAATACCATGAATATTGAATTCATTCAACCCCGTTAACCAACGGCCCTGAAAAACTCCTCTATTGGGGGAATAAAAATTCTCAAGCGGCCAATTAATGGCAGTCTCAATCGGGCCGAAGATATGCCATGAATGCGGTACATTTGAGTACTTGCATCTGCCCACCAGAAGCCCTGCAATGTAATAAGCGGCATACTGATGGCTCTAGAGAGGCGGTCGGCTGTCGGCCGCCGGGACACGGGCTATCCGGCCCAATTTAGTTGTACAATAGAGGACCGCTGTTACCGCTCGCCGGCAAGTTTCATTGTACCTTTAGAGGGCCGCAAAAATCATGTTTGCTGGGTCGTTACACAAAACAACGCGTTTCCTAACTGATCACGGGAATATCTATTTCCTACCTTCCTTTCTTCCCTCAAAGTTCTGATAGGAGGGAAGGGCGTAGAAAGTTACTTACTAGACCGTCAAGGAGGAACAGACCCTGGCTCAGTGAGTATGACATGATTTTACAATTGAGGAGCATGGAAGATACAAACAGCAGTGTGCTTTATTATTTGATATACA